CAAAAATGCCCCTCGGGGAAAGCGTCGGGAGCTCTGCGGCTGGTGGATGGAAGCAAAAACAATCCATCGGCTGTCTGCATCCGCCCCGGGGCCCCGAAGGGAAGACTGCAGAGCTGAAGCCATCAATCCGCGAGGGCCCGCACATCCGACGCACTGTCTGCCGAATACGGGGCCCCCGGCAAACCCGACCCTCTGCCGCCCCCGAGGGCGGCAAGCGGAGAAAGCTCCGTTACCGGAGAAGCCCGCAGCTGCGGATCAGAGCGAGGGGGCGGCGGGGACGTCAGAATCCACGCCGCGGAGTCCCACCTCAGCCTCAGCACCCGGGGGCAGCGCACGACCGCTCGGCCCCCTCGCTTCGACACGTCCTTGCCTTGGAGGCCTCGGGGGCGGCCGCGACGTCGGCGGCGGCGGCCGGCGGCGAGGGCTCGGCGGGCGGGGGCGCGCCCGCGCGCACGAGCTGCACGGAGCCGGAGGCGCCCACGCCGCTGCAGGTGGCGACCACCTCTGCAGGGTGGGAGCCCCCTCCCTGCGGTCTCAACGCCGACCAGTCTTTGAGCATCGAGTGGTAAGTTCGAGCAGCATGCGACGATCGGTCTGAATCCCGCTTCTGGCAAGATAGTTGCGTGCACAGTTTAGCACAGGCGGGAGAGGCGGATTTGCAGCAACGCTTCCCCACCTCCACAGCCATTTCCCTCAGAGGCCCCACAGCTGGCCGTGCTAGCAGCAAACTGTGCACAGTACACCAACGTTGGGTCTAGGAACAAATCATGGTGATTAACTTGGATATCTGCTCTTATTGGGACTATGTCGAAGCGAAGTCGGAGGAATAGCTGCTGCGCGCCCAGACGGCAAACTGAAGTCCGTTGGTCTAAAGTCTGTGGCCCCCTCTACGTAAGCCTCCTGTAAGCACAGCGGGTCCAGTGGACAACACTTGTTTTTGTGACCGACCCGTCGTTCGTCCGAGCGTAGCTCGCGGTCTGCTGAGTCGAGCTTCTGCACCGAACTTCCCAGATGAGGGCAAATCCGCCTTTTTTTTTTCGGCGTGTGTGAGGAGCTGTCGCCTTCGTCGTCGTCGTCGTCGCCAGTCCCAAGGACGTTGACGCACGAATAGGAAAAAGAAACGTCGCAAACGAGTCGGTCCCCTCGCCTTTTTGCCCTCGCTGACGGGGAGGGGGGGTACGGGAGGGGGGGGACGGGGGAGGGGGGGGCGGGGAGGGGGACGGAGGGAGGCAAGGGGTCGGGTTCCAGGCCGGATTGCCGCCCCCCCCCTGGGGTCCCGGCGGGCCCCCCTTCTCCTCACACGGTCCCCCAGTGGACAAGGGGGGACAAGAGGGGGAGGTCGCCCCTGTTGGCCGAAGGGTCCTGGAAGGACAGGCCCCAGGTCAGATGACCGCCCCCCTGGGGGAGGTCGCCAGCGGAAACGCTACAAATTACAACCAAGTAGAGACAATTCAAGCCACTTGAATACGAATTCCAACCACGGTGGTACGAATCCGAATCCGAACCAACCTCCATGGGAGGCCTCACAAGCGTCACAGAGGCCTCGTGTTCCAGGTTGCGCTTGGCGCTGGCCAGGTGCTGTCTGGCTCGCGGGGAGACTTTCCCGATCCCCCCCCCGGCTCGCGGGATGCGATGGAGCTTGCTCCATTTTCTGATTCACCTGATTAACCTCCTCTTCCTCCGCCTCCTCCTTCCCCTCCTCCCCCTCCTTCTCCTCCTCCCCTCCTTTTCCTCCCCTCTCCCTCCTCCTCCCCTCTCCTCCTCCTCCTCCTCCTCCTCCTCCTCGCCCCCCCTCCTCCTCCTCCTCCTCCTCCTCCTCCTCCTCCTCCTCCTCCTCCTCCTCCTCCTCCTCCTCCTCCTCCTCCTCCTCCTCGTCCTCCTCCTCCTCCTCGCTCGCCAGCTCCTTCCCTAAAGGCCTTGAGCCCTTGAGCCCTCAAGCCCTCAAACCCTCAATCCCTTACGCCATTAGACCTTTACGCCCGTTTGAACCCTTAAACGCTGAAACCCTTGAACCCTCACGCCCTTAAATTCTTAAGCCATTAAGCCATTCAACCGTTACATAACTAAACCCTTTATGTCCTTCAAACCCTCAAACCCTTAAGCCATCTAACCCTCCGAAGCCCGTGAACTCTTCATCACTTTCACCTTGAACCCTTGGAGCCCTTACACCCTTTCAGCCCTTGAACTCGTATGCCCTCAAACCCTCACACCTTCGAGGCATGAAAACATTAACTCCCTAAACTATTAAGCCCTCGAGCAAGTTCTTGAGCCCTAAAGATCTTGAGACCTTAAACCCTCGAGCCCTTCTGAAAACCTTACTCCCTGAAACACCTAGACCTAACCCTCGAACCCTTATCCATTTAAGCCCTTATCCATTTAAGCCGTGTTTGCAACAAAAAACTCAATAATTAAGGCCGCAATCCCCTTCATACCTTAAACCTGTAAACACTCAATCCCTCAAACACGTGAACGCTTAAGCCCTTCAACCCTGAAACTCTTGAGCAATTGAACCCTGTATACATTCGAACCCGGGCAACCATGTCAGCTTCTGTATTGCATGTGCGCGCATGAGAAGATTACTTGGCTTTACAAACGCATGCTCACCAATCTGATCATACGGTGGGGTTACTTGGCCAATTGGAATTCCTACCAATGTGTTTTTTTCGAATTGATTGGAAAACGGAAAACACCCGCTGGTTGGACTTCGGTTGAGTCGGTTGGAACGACCCCCGGATGAGGTCGCCAGCGGGAGAGGGTCCCGGGGAGGCCACGCCTGGGGAAGGGTGGTCCCTGGTCAACATCTCGCTACCCAGGGGTCCTGGCGGGTCCCAGGGGGGGGGGGGGGCGCCAGCGGGGGTCTCGGGGGAGGTGTCCCGCCTTCCGGGTCGGCGGCACTGGCCGAAAGGCCTTCACAATGGGAGATCTCCAAGAACGGGTTACGGACAAGCCTGTACGTATGCCCGCGGAGTGGCGGGTGAAAACTAGCAGGCGCTCGTGTAATTTACTCACAAAACACAAGCCGCCTGGCGCGTGGACAAGAAATCAAGCTCAAGCAACCGCAGGCAAAGGTGGGCGGCACCTCTTGAGCAACTGATCAAGGCAGGGGGAAGAGGAGGAGGAGGAGGAGGAGGAGCAGGGGGAGGGAGAGGAGGAAGAAGAGAGCAGCAACTCTCCTTCAGGAGCCCAACAGATCTTGGAACAGAAACACAACAGCTGAGCGAGGGCGAACACGCACTTTTTTGATCCGCGGGTCGAGAGCGCACCTCTTCCGGTCGAAGCTAAGCGGGCCGCGCACAGCTTTCATTGACAGAGGGGGGGGAGCAAAAGGAGGGGCCTCGCGTCAAGGCCAAGAGAGGGCAAAGCCCCGGAATCGGGCGGTGCCGAAGACGATGTGCTTGCAGAGGAACGCCTTGTACAGGAGCCCGGCGGCAGGGCGAACACACACACGCACACACACACACACACTGACTGGCGGCCGCGGCCTCGCGCGCAGCGTCGAGGCGGAGAAAAGCTCAGGTCTGGTGCTCGCACGGCCGTGCCCCCAGGGGCATCTCCGCACATATCGTGTCCGCTGTCCGCAGAGCAGACCATCCGGGAGTGCACGTGGCGGGGAGGGGACCCGCTGGCCTGGCGCTGGACTTCCAACGGGGCCGTAGCGCGAGGGCTCGGACGTCCATTCCCCGTGCATTTTTCGATTCCGTGCGTGTTTTTTTCCGCTAAATGATCAAAGATGCTCCTCGATGGCCCTCGCCAAGAAAAAATGCACACGCCCGAGCGATGCCAAGGTAGCGCGGGAGCTCGGGGCGAGCCGAACCATCCGGGCCTGCCGCACACACAGCGCAGACGAACCCCACGAGGTGAGAGGCCGAGCGAGAGGCGGCTGGCGCCGGCCGACCGCCTGGCCATGGCCAGCGCCGCCAGTCCCTGCTGCGCCCCCAGCGCCGCCCGCGACGCAGAAGTCCACGACCTCTGCGCTCCACAGCGCGGCGGCGCCGCTCCGACGCCCGGCGTCCGCCGGCTGCGGCGGCGATCACGACGGCGGCGGCGGCGATAGCGCCGGCGGCGCGCAGCCGACGACGGCGGCGGCGTCCGACGGAAGCTGGTGGCGACGACGACGGCGGCGGCGGCGACCGACGAAGCCGACGTCCGACGATGACCAAGGGCGCCGGCGGTGGCGGCGGCGGCAGCAGACGGCAGCGACGATGACGACGGCGTCCGACGGAGACCGACGGCGACGACGGCGGCGGCGACGAAGACAGACGAAGCCGTTATCCAATGAAGACCGACGGCGCCAAAGGTGGCGGGGGCGACAACGACGGCGAGGACGGTGGCGGCGAAGTGGACGACGACGGCGGCGTGCGACGGAGACTGGCGGCGACGCAGGCGTCGCCACAGACGACGGCGGCAAGGATAAGGAGGAAAAGGGAGAGCTGTGACAGGAGCTATCTTCTAGGAGTAACGTGTATCATGTATGTACAAGTCGGTACCCGTTTGTCATCATTACGAGAGGGCGATGCTAAACTTCTCGGTATCTTGCTAACTGTTACAGCTGATCCCCCAAGGGGATGCAATGAAAAGGGGTAGGAATAGGAAGAGCAGAAGGGAGTGACGACGACGACGAGGGGAGGTGGAAGCAGAACGAAGACGAGGCGGAGGGGAAAGAGGGGGGCGAGAAGAAGAGGAGCGTATAGAGAGACGTCCCGCCCTGAGAGTTGGAATCAATCCCAACCATAATCCGCACCTTCACGCGATGATGAAAGCGGGAAGCTAAAGCCAGAAAAAGAAAATGACGAGGAGGACGAGGAGGAGGAGGAGGAGGAGGAGGAGGAGGAGGAGGAGAAGGGGGAGGAGGAGGACTACACCAAGGAGAGGGCGAGGGCGAGGAGGACGAGTGGTCGGGGCATGAGGAGGACGAGGGTGTGAGCGGAGGAGAGCGAAGACGATGGTGGGCAGGACACCGATGAAGCCAGTGAGAATGACAAGGAGGACGAGGAAGAGGAGGAGGAGGAGGAGGAGGAGGAGGAGGAGGAGGAGGGCTGACTTCCGAGCGTGGCAGGTGCACAGGTGCATCACGCTGCCGCGAGACAGGACGCGTCCGCATGCCTGACCCACTCCCCATTCACCGGGGGAGCAGGCCACTAGAGCGATATTCGAGGCCACCCTCGTCGCTGCGAGGCTCTTCAGGACGGCTTCCAATAGGGGCTGCCGTACTTGCCGTGCGCCTTACCATTCCTGAACGCTTTCTGCAACATCCCGATCGAGCCGCCGTACTTTTCATACATCGGCTTGTTGTTGTCGAAGGGAACGCGGTAGTCGTCGTTGGCGATCTCGAGGTCCCACTCCTCGCATGCCTCCATCGGATTGTCTGAGCCGTCGAAGTCGACCAAAACCCACGGGCGAGCGTGGCCCTTGAAGTGCCTCGGGCGCTCGTAGGGCCACCGGGTCTGGGAGAACTTGAAGGCGCTCACCACGGTGCCCTCCGTGCCTCCCTCGATGACCTTCGGCAGCGCCCGGAACTCGCGCTCGTCCTCCTCCACGTCGCGGTTGAACTCGTTCACATCCTCGGCGGCTCCCTCGTCGAAGAAGCCCCGGCCGCCGTTCGTCTTATTGATGGGGGCGCGGGCACGCACCCGATCGCCGCACTTCCAGATGGACCTCGGGGCCATCGTGCCCGGCTGCGCGGGCGTGTTGGCCAGGTAGTTAGGGCTTTGATGGTTGGTACGTGATCCCCGCCATCTTGTTCACCCGCATCCTGAGGCCTGGCATGGCCGTGCCAGCGCCCCACCTGGCCACAACCGTGGCCACGAGCCCCAGCAGCAGCAGCCTCGCAGTCGCCGTGGCACCACGGCCCCGAGCCGGCGCCGCCACCATGATGGCCATCGCCCCTGTCGACGCGACGCAGACGTGCCAGCCCTGCTCGGCCACCAAGCTTGAGCCCGTTGGCTTGAGCCAACATGGCTACGGAAGGAGGAGGAGGAGGAGGAGGAGGAGGAGGAGGAGGAGGAGGGGGAGGAGGAGGAGGAGGAGGAGGAGGAGGGAGGAGGAGGAGGAGGAGAAGGAGGAGGAGGAGGACAAGGATGAGGATGGGGAGGAGGAAGAGGAGGAGGAGAAAAAGGAGGAGGAGGAGGAGGAGGAGGAGGAGGAGGAGAGAAAGGAGGAGGAGAAGCAATACGTGAGCGCAGATTGGCACGCCGCGGCCGTGGCCCGGGCCCGTCGCCCACGGGCAACCCCACCGCAAGCCTTCTGGCGTCGCGGCCCCCACGGCGGAGAGGAGGCAAGAAACGAATGAGTGCGGTGTCGTCTAGGTCTCCGGAGTGCTGGGGGGTCCTGCGGGGCTTCCACGGGTCTCTGGAGGTCCCCCTGAGGCCCCTGGAGGTCTCCAGGGGCTCCTGGAGGTCCAGGCAATGCAAAACACGTGCGGGATGAGGAATCCTCCTTCCGAGGCTGAGCTTTACACGTGTCCGCCGCCTCCCAGGCGGGGCCCAGGAAGATCGGTTCCCCCATCGGCTGAAGGATCGCGCCGCGTCGCCAATGCATCGGCGATGCACCGGCGACGTCGGGATCGAGAGCATCTGGCTGCGGCTCGCGCCGCGCCCCCGATGTATTATTCGCGGTGCTGCGCGATCCTGCGACCCCGCTGCTGCTGCCCCACTTAAGCGGCCTGCGGCTTCGTCGCGGGCCGCTGCTTGGAGCCTCCTCCGTCTCCTCCTCCTCCTCCTCCTCCTCCTCCTCCTCCTCCTCCTCCTCCTCCTCCTCCTCTTCCTTCTCCTCCGTCTCCTCCTCCTCTTCCTCCTCCTGATCTTTCTCTTCCTCTTCCTTCTCCTCCTCCACCTCCTCCACCTCCTCCACCTCCTCATCCTCCTCTCTTCCTCCTCCTCCTCCTCCTCCTCGCCCCCCTCCTCCTCATCCTCCTCTCCTCCTCCTCCTCCTCCTCCTCCTCCTCCTCTCTCCTCCTCCTCCTCCTCCTCCTCCTCCTCGCCGCTGAACGTGATAGCGCAGGTCAGCACGACCTGCCTCGAGGGTTGCAGGCCAGCAGCTGCGTGAGGCGCGCGGCGGGGCAACGCCACGCTCCGCGAGAAGCGGGGCCGCAACGACTGCCCTGGAGGCTCCGCGCCGAGTCCATGTCGAACCCGCGACCAGATGCGAAAAAAGACGTGTAGGCAAGGCCCCGCGGCGCGAGGTGCGATGTCGCAAGCTCGTCCAGGGAAGACCCGTGGCGATGAGGCGGCCGCGCCCGCGCCGAAGCCCGCCCCGCGTGCGACGGGAGCGGAAGGCACACTGTCGGCCGCCCTGCTCTCCCTGCCTGCCTCTGGCCCTCGCCCCCGGAGTCCAGGCAGGGCGTGATGGTGCAGACCCGACTTGTCTGGCTGCTGCTCGCGAGCGGCGAACATGTCCGGACCCGTGCCCTCGCGGTCTGGACTCCAGGGCGCGATCCCGCGGATGCGCGGTCGCACGGAGACGCTCCGCGCGGGGCATCCACGACAACAACGCCCCGTATCCGCGGGGTCGCGGCCCAGGGGCCCGGCCCGCGATGCCACGGATACGGATACGTGTTTTGCCCACGGTTGTGGCTGGCTTTCTGGGGCCGCCCGCCCGCGGGCCGCCGACGCAACGCGAACCGGGCTTTAAGCGCTGGGCAGCGCCCTGCGACTTCCCGTGCGCCGCAGTCGCTGCGAGGACTCGGCTAGAAGCACCGGCCTGTGCGGTGTGGGTTTGAGGGGGCGCTGCCCGCTCAGAAAGGGTGCGGATCGCGACCAGGAAACACATTTGATCGAACAGTTCCCGAAAAGCTCCTACTCCTCCCTCTTCTCCTCCTCCTCCTCCTCCCTCCTCCTCCTCCTCCTCCTCCCTCCTCCTCCTCCTCCTCCTCCTCCTCCTCCTCCTCCTCTCCCCCCCTCTCCCCTCCTCCCTCCTCCTCCTCCTCCCCTCTCCTCCTCCCTCCTCCTCCTCCTCCTCCTCCTCCTCCTCCTCCTCCTCCTCCTCCTCCTCCTCCTCCTCCTCCTCCGCCTCCTCCGCCTCCTCCTCCTCCTCCTCCTCCTCCTCTCCTCCTCCTCCTCCTCCTCCCCCTCCCCCTCCCTTCCCCCTCCCCCTCCCCCTCTCCCCTCCTCCTCCTCCCCTCCTCTCCTCTCCTCCTCCTCCTCCTCCTCCTCCTCCTCCTCCTCCTCCTCCTCCTCCTCCTCCTCCTCCTCCTCCTCCGCCTCCGCCTCCGCCTCCTCCTCCGCCTCCGCCTCCGCCTCCTCCTCCTCCTCCTCCTCCTCCTCCTCCTCCTCCTCCTCCTCCCCTCCTCTCCTCCTCCTCCCTCTCCTCCTCCCTCTCCTCCTCCCTCTCCTCCCTCCTCCTCCTCCTCCTCCTCTTCTTCTTCTTATTATTATTCTTATTATTCTTCTTCTTCTTCTTTTTATTTTTCTTATTCGTCTTATTATTATTATTATTATTATTATTATTATTATTATTATTATTATTATTATTATTATTACTCTTCTTCTTCTGATTATTCTTCTTATGTTTCGTCTTATTATTATTCTTATTATTCTTCTTCGTCTTATTATTCTTCTTATTATTATTCTTATTAGTCTTCTTATTCGTCTTATTATTATTCTTATTATTCTTCTTCTTCTTCGTATTATTATTCTTCGTCTTCGTCTTCTTCTTCTTCTTCTTCCTCCTCCTCCTCCTCCTCCTCCTCCTCCTCCTCCTCCTCCTCCTCCTCCTCCTCCCTCCTCCTCCTCCTCCTCCTCCTCCTCCTCCTCCTCCTCCTCCTCTCCTCCTCCTCCCTCCTCCTCCTCCTCCTCCTCCTCCTCCTCCCTCTCCTCCCTCTCCTCCCTCCTCATCCCCCTCCACATCCTGCCCGGCCCACATCGGGGCAACGTCGGCCCGCGGACCCCTCCCGGGGTCCATCCGTTCCGTCTCCGACGCGGATCCAGCCGTGGCGAGAAGAGCCCCCCGGGAGGCTCGCAAACAATGATACAACAAAAGCGCTCGGGAGGGAGCCGCGCGGCGCCCGCGCTGCTCGCGGGCGGGCGCGGGCGAGGCCGAGGAGAGTCGCCTTCGCCTCTGGCGGCCCTCGGCGGCCCTCGGGGAGGCCATCTGGGAGGCCCCCGGGAGGCCCTCGGGGCCCTCGGCGGCCTTCGGCGGCCTTCGGCGGCCTCCGTCGTCGTCGTCGTCGTCGTCGTCGTCGTCGTCGTCGTCGTCGTCGCCGTCGTCGTCGTCGTCGTCGTCGTCGTCGTCGTCGTCGTCGTCGTCGTCGTCGTCGGCGTCGGCGCAGCCAAAGACGACTACTACGAAGAGGCGGCGCGGACCGGCCCGAGGTTCGACCAGGCGTCCTGCACAACCAGGCGACAGCTGCCCTCGCAGGAGGCGAGGTGCAGCACCTCTGCTGGGGGGGTGGGCAGCCGCGGAGGAGGGAGGATCAAGGATCGAGGACATCCCAGGGAAAAAGGACCCATACCTCGAGGATCGAGGTCCTCGTCCTCTTCCTCGTCCTCGTCCTCGTCCTCGTCCTGGTCCTCCTCCTCCTCCTCCTCCTCCTCCTCCTCCTCCTCCTCCTCCTCTCCTCGTCAGCATCTTTGCAATGAGCATCACCAACATCATCAGCATCATCAGCATCATCAGCATCCTCGTCCTCGTCCTCGTCCTCGTACTCGCCATCGTCATCCTCATCCTCATCCTCATCATCAGCATCATCATCGTCGTCCTCATCCTCATTCTCATTATCATCCTCATCCTCATCCTCATCCTCATCCTCATCCTCATCCTCATCATCATCATCATCATCATCATCATCATCATCATCATCATCATCATCATGAAGCATCATCCACATCATCATCACCCTCATCATCATCATAATGACCATCATCGACATCATCATCATCATCAACATCATCCTCGCAACAACCATCCACCACCACCACCATCATCATCCTCATCATCATCATCATCATCATCCTCATCATCATCAACCTCATCATCATCATAATCATCATCAGCATCAGCATCAGCATCATCATCATTATCATCATCAGTATCATCATCATCATCATCATCATCATCGAAATTGTCATCGTCATCGTCATCATCAGCATCATCATCCGCATCACCATCATCGTAATCATCGTAATCATCATCATCATCATAATGGCAATCATCAAAATCATAATCATCCGTATCATCATCACAACCACCACCACCACCATCATCATCAGCATGATCCTCATCCGCATCCTCATCCTCATGATTATCAGCAGCAGCATCAGCATCATCGCCATCATCATCATCAGCATCATCATCATTATGACAATCATCATGATAATCAGCATGACCATCATCATGACCATCAGTATCATCCTCATCATCATCCTCATCCTCCTCATCATCATCATCACCAACACCAACACCATCACCACCACCCCAACCGACACAATCACCACCACCACCATCATTGCCAGCATCACCAACATCAGGATCGCCTTAAGCATCATCCTTATCAGCATCATCATCACCACCACCCCAATAATCATCATCATCATCATCATCATCATCATCATCATCATCATCATCATCAGCATCCCCATCATCCTCATCATCATCCCCATCCTCATCCTCATCCTCATCCTCATCCTCATCCTCATCCTCATCCTCATCCTCATCCTCATCCTCATCCTCATCCTCATCATCATCATCATCATCATCATCATCATCATCATCATCAGAATCCGCCAGCCCCCTTGCGGGGCCATCAGGCTGCAAGGATTAAGGTTGCTGCTCCCTGCACCAGTTCCAATTTCCAGTTTCCATTGTTACAATACTGCTTTCTGCGTCCTACTGTAAATTGTTACCGTGCGCGCGAGGGGGGGAGCCGAAAAGAGCCCTGGTTAGCGTCCCCCGGGAAGGTTCTCAGAATTTCTGGGGGGGCGTGGGACACGTAAAAATACGGGAGCTTTGTGCCCCCGAAGCCATA